CCCCCCCCATTACACACAAACAACAGCTTTTATTTTTAGGGAAAACTTTGCTTTAAGTAAACATTTCATGAAGAATTGAGATAAGAATGTGATGTCTCAACTAAAAGTCCTCGGAGCTGACTCTTACGGACCACTCTCACACAGACACATGAAAATGTTGAGATGTTGTGCCTCCCTGTCTACGGTGATGTTTCCTTTTCGCAGCTACACTGGCGCAAAATCCCATGACAGTACTAAAGCAAAATAATATCAGATGCAATGGAACCTTTTTGTATGTTAGCAGAACCCCTTTGGTTTGACCGGAGCTGCTCTTTCTGCATTCCGGCAATCTATAGTCTGTAAGTACTACTCGTTGTTCGAAAGAAACTGCTCCTATACTTATAAACTGTATACATAAATATTTACTTTTTACTGCACGTTTAATGGGAACTTACTTCACTTACTGAGAAGGAAGAAGAAAAAAAACTGTAAAACAAAATGTACAAAAAAATGTTTTCCCTGTAAACATGGAAATTCACCTTGTTGCTTGCTTTTGTTATACCTAAAGAAACATGTAGTACAACTTAGTACATCAGTGAAGACCGTGCCATTGATCTTTTTCTTATTTCATCGTCTCTTATACCACCACACGAAACTTTCATATATTTCATTTAAATCAACTTTATACCATGAAATTGTCAATTTTTTATATTCCTCCTGGTTTTTTAATTTGTAATCCCATTTATGTGTCACCGTCAAAACAATGGAACTCTTCACAATCACGACAATGTACTATGTGTTTTCCTTTTGTTTTCTTTACCTTGTGCCACTTTGTATATTTTATGCTTCTGAAAAAAAGACAAAAAAACATAGAAAAAAACACAAGAGTGAATGCAAATATGCAATTGTGCCTTTTTATACCAATTGGTCTGATTTAATCTTGGTTTGTGTATGGTGCATAAACAATTACATGCTTACAAAAGCGAATGGGGTGGCATTTAAGAGCGGACTGAAAAACATTTGCATATCTTAGATGAGATCCCATGATGTCAAAAGGTTCTTGGAGGACAACCAGTTAAATGTCAGTGAGCCTGTAGGTCTAATACCCAAAACGGCCGTTGTTCACTGGGTTCAATTACCTTGTTGAAATATCCATTCCTAGCATAGTGCATTACCGAGTGAGTACATCCAAAAGTTGCTTGTTGGTAGTAATATTAATGATATAATGGATTTTTTTGTCGTGTTCCACTCACGTACATGTATGACATCAGAGGTAACCTTCTTTGTGCATGAAACAAGCTCTAGGACTGAATATAAAAGCATAGAAAGATAGAGGCGGGGTAAAAAGAAAAAAAAGAAGGCTTGGAGACATTCGACTGCTCAGAGTCGATCGAGGCAGCCTAGAGATAAAAATGCTACGGTTTACTAGGAGGAGTGGAAGAGGAGGGGGGGGGGGAAGCTTCAGGGGGCGAGTACCTGCCAGAACACACACCTCAGGATGTGCCGAGCAACACAACACTCATGCGCAGATTTACAGTATATGCATATCAGTAGGTGATGAAATCCTGTCCCACAAATGAGCCTGGTATGATGCTCGCTATGATACCGCAAGGTGATGCTTTGAATTTCTAGATCAGAACGAAACAGAGACTCTGTAGTGTGAACCTCAGACATAAAGAGGAGACATGAAAGAAGAAATGCCATACATACAGCGTACACTCGTTCATTTCTGAGCACTGTTTTTTTACTTGAGTTAACTGCTTCAGAAATCTGGACTTTTTTTCAGAGAAAATGACGTAGCTGCCATTAAAAGATGTTTGTCTCTTGCCGTCCGAGGTGTGTGTTCAGTCCGTGCTCTCCTCTATTCGTATAGCCTTCACGGTGTGTAATGAGATTTGTAATATTAACCATTACTATTTGTCCTGCGAATTGGATGTTGATATAGAAATTGAGGAACAAATGTATCATCGTTTTAATGAGTCACTATGCACGCAGCTTAGCTGAACATGGCAAAGTGTATTGAACGCAAGTCCACTTCTATTTATGAGATATTTTACATAATTTAATTTGCTTTTGTACAGGTTTGTGTAAATAAATTGCTTGTCATTTTTGTCTCTGCAGAAATTAAAATATAACATGGTAAAAAAAGTCTACTTGGTTTCATTATTTTTTTAATATCTGTTATTTTATAGAAATACATTGATTTAAGAACGTATAACAGCCTAAACCATAACAGAATCATAAGTGAGGTAAAGGGTGACACAATGAATAAACAATAATCTACGACAGGAGAAGAAAGTGTCATCATGATGCGGTTATTATAACCAAATGTCAAATGTACCATCAGCCACTTTTATGCTTAACTATATCATAATATATTCTCTCCAATGTTTTATAATGTTCACTTAAAAAAACAGGTATTCAAACAAATTATATTCTAATAAAAATCTATGTTTCTGCCACATGGGGGAGGCGACACAAGCTTAAAATCAGACAAATTGATTATGAATTGGGAATTAGGGCTAACATTTGAAATATGTACCCACTAACACGTAGCAGACATGGAGCAACATTAGAATTAACATGGGATTGTGTTTTTGCCTGAATGCAAGCCCAATATTCACTCGACTTCTAGCTCTGTTTTGGTCTCAACCAACTTTCCCGAAAAACATTGATTTTAGCAAATGTTTCAAAAGCCATCCCCTAACTTTTAACGCCCTCTTTTTTGCCTGACAGGGGAAAGTTTGTTTACAAGAGCTTTTGTCTGCATGAATTACATAACACATTTTCATCGAACCATAATGTAAAAGAAGACGTTCAGATTTAAGTTGCCTATAAATGTTTAAGGGTTTGGTTCAAATTTAAAAATGGTAAAGGTCGAATTTGTTGGTAGTTAACTAAAATGATATAATCTGGTGATCATATCTTTCAGAGAAGAGATTATATTTTGAGTGTTATAAATGGAATCAAGTGACAATAATAAAAGGAACAACATTTCAAAATGGTATTTAAAGAGAGCCAATCCAGCCGTGTGCCCTTCCCTGGCAGCTCTGTGTGAGTGCATACATATTGAATGTGCCCTTGTTAGCGTAAATGAATATATTCATATGTTTTTAATTATGCGTTTACTATTTTTGCCTTCATGTCTGGGTGATGTATGAGGCCATTACAGTCTAGGTGATTAGAGAGCCTTTCCCTACGCTCTGATTAACAGCAGCCTCTCCAGCACCCTCAAACTGATAATGGCGTCTTAATAGAAAACTACAATACACAGTAAAATTATGTCTCCAAAGTTCGATAATTTAGAGAAAGTTTTCTTCTCAATTGTCTCGGGAATATTAGAGGACGTACGGAGATTGGAGAAAAACATTGTTTTCCCACAAGGATGGGACGTTGTATTGATTCACTTCAATTGAAAACTCAAAATGTCTGCCCATTTTATTTCTGCATATTTGTCTTCAAAGGATCCCACTTCCAATAAATACTAGGTTTGAATCACGTTGATATGCAAATTGTCTCGCTCATTTTCTTGTCCCTTCTGAAGCATGTTGAATTGCCTGGCATGGAATAATCAGCGGGCAGTAATATTTTTTCTGTTGAGAGAGAGGCAAATTAAGACAAATTACAATTAATTTGAATGTAATTAATGTTTAGGCGATGCATACCAATGAGTTTTTCAAATGATATTTTCTTGAAAGATACATACATTTATTTAGTAAAATAATAATGAATTGTCGTGGAACATGTATTTCAGGTCACAGTGTGTAGGTGTGAGCGTTTTTCCGATCGTATCCCAACAACGTGCTGGTTCAGAGGTTCATAAGCACCTGATTTTCATTGGCAGCAACAAACACCCCTTGGCAGCGATCCTCATCAATCTGACATTGCCCTCTTATCAACCATCTCCATGCAAACAGGCTCCCACACATACAGAGGGCCATGAACCCCACCTCCCATACAGGTTTCAACATGAACATCCCTAAAAGAGGCATGGGTGAAGCCTCGATAATGATTGCACATTTACCTGAACCAAAGGTGCATTCTGAAGTGGTGTCGTGTTCAACCATCCTAAGTGTGGGACAGACGGGAAGATAACACCGCAGGCACTGGAGGAAAGGGTGTGGGGGGGCAGCCTCGGTATGCACGAGAGAGATATCAAAGGTAGTATTCCCCATGCTGAAATATGCAAAGCTAATTAAATAAATCATTGATCACTTCTCCCACATCAAGCATGAGGTATGCCATTTTAATACAAATTCAGTTCCCATTTATGCTCACTGGTGCGAAATAACGACTCAAAATCACATCAGCAAATGGAATTTGACCATAAGCTATATGATATGTGCAATTTATGACTTTTTTATTGTCTTTAGATTTTATTTTTCTGCTGCAACCGCGGGAAGTGGGATCCGAGGAATAGCAGTTAGGGCTTTGTTAAATTGATTTCTATTTCATATTTATTTTATGAATGTGCCGAGGGATTCAGGGCTAAGTTTTTATGTGTTGTGGATGGTACAAATAAACAAGTTCATGAGGAAACTCCTGCAATAACTGTGATTTAATTGCGTTCACATAAATTCTATCAGCGTTTATTTTTTGCCATCTATCGCTCCCCCGAGGATGATGTCATTACAGTTAATTTTATTGCTTTTACAGCAGAGATGGACACGCGCATAGAAAATGCAGTCTGCCTCACCCTGTGATCACACTTGATCTGCTATAGTGAGTGTTTTCTATAGGAAATTCATTTGTGTGAGTGAATTTGCTGCAGCTGCTTTGTTTTGTTGCAATTTGGAATATGGTGGACTTCTTTGTATTGCCTAAACAAGTCTGCACTACAAATGCAGTGAAGATAAGAAAAAGGATTTCAAGTTGACTTGACGGAAACTTTTCAATAGATTAAAGTTATATTGCTTCCATTTAAGATCAGCTTTTTTTTTTTTTT